TCGTTCTTCTCGTTATGCATCACGTAGAAATGCAAGAGGAAGTGGAGATACGTTAAGAACGTGATATATTGCCTATTTCCTCTCACATTCTATACTATACATATATATATACGTGTGTGCAGACGGCTTGGTTGGACTTTAGATTTTGTAAAGCGTTGTAAAATGTGCTGGGAGTTTATGAATGTTACAAGATATATATATATACGCAGATCTTATCCATGTATACTTCAAATTGTTGGTGTGACAAATATCTGTATATGAGATTGCATAGTATATAGATCATATTTTCCGAAATATACAATTTCGTTAAACTTTCGGGAGTGCAAGGTAGAAGGACACGGGACAGATAAACGTTAACTGTCACCTATATACAGCGCAGAGATATTACGAGCTCGAGGAATGACGGTCTCACAGCGAAAACGTCTCGCGTACACAACAAATGCGATTAAGATACCGCTAACTCCGCCTGCGGAGAAAAGTCGCTATTTTTGATAACTGTGCAAACGTTCAATAAATCGGGGGGGCGGCAAGTAAGTCCTATAATACCTATATAATATCGATAACACCGTTCGCCTTCTACGAAAAAAACGAGCTTAACGAAGTTAACTGTTCTCTGTCTCGTGCGTCCGTGTTATATCCGTCACGTTAAAAAAGGAGCTAATTTACGGCTAATAATCACTGCGCAAACACACATTGCGCTGTCGCGGAGTGTGCGGCAACCCGTTTACGTGGTATGATATACGAATAAGACAATGTAACCCCCAAGGCGTTTCGCGACGACGAGCGCCTCGTAGAACCGAGACACGAGGGGTGGTCTCGCGCGTTACACGGGAAGCGAGACACCCTCGATAAGCACACCCCCCCCCCCCCCCCCCCCCCCACCCCGTTGCCTTTCCGAAGCCATCACTCTCGGGACCCCCCACCCCCCGCAATCGCACCGGCGGGGGGGAGGCAGCCCCCGCGCGGCCGGCGAGGGGGGGGGGGGGGGGGGGTTGCCCCCCCCCCCCCCCCACAGTGCATTGTACGAAGATATAATAAAGCATGAACCGCTGGAACACACCACGAGTCGTCGCACGTCACCTGTAAACGCGATCTTTTGTCCGTGTCCGCCGTAGAAATAGAATCGACGAGCGTCGCACACAAGAGCTCTCTGTCTCTCCTCCGATGTACACACATACATACGCACACCGACGTGTTCGACATGCTTCCTCCCTCCGTATTATCAATTCCCTCCCGTTACATACCCGTTTTGTCGCATCTTGCATCCTGCAACGATTTCGCCTGATCGTTGTCGGCACTTTATTACACCCTGCACGAAAATATCTCGAGCGAATGCCATCGACTTTCCGTAGATCTCATTAGACATCTCTCGAGAGAATTAGTTCACTTTTTTTCATCGCGATTCGGTAGCGCGTGAAAAATCGGGATATCGCGGAAAAAGAGAATTTCTATCATTTGTTTACAAGCGATCTCGTGTATTAGATAAATTAGATTCGATTACGCTATATATGGCCAATATACAGCGAATATTTTTCTAATAATCCAAGGATTTTATTTTTTTAATTACTTATTATTTAACGCGTGCTTTTTAATGGGATATCGATATTTTCTGACATTTTTCACACATAATTATTTTTTTTCGTATATAAAACGCGGATTAAACACGTGATGCACCGAAATCGTATTTGTCAAAATTGATCCTTCGATTTCGCGACGTTCTCGGATTTCATTCTCAGCACGCGCGTATTTTCCGCCTGCCGACGGTTTGTACTTTCGATTTATGACGTCCTAGCTTCGTGAGAGATATCGGAAACGAAAATATGACTCGACGTATGATCGCGTGCGAGCGAGGCGTCTATAAGAATTTCATGTCGTCAGGCGACGCTCGCGGAGTAAAACCCGAAGCGATGTGCTGGTTTCTCGGGTAAATCCGCGAAAACGATAGAAAAATCTTCGGTAACCGTAATCACATGTCATCCCTACGCCACATGTTGCCTCTTCGTTCGTTACCCCCTCACTCACACATCGTGCCACCTCACACACATGTTACATAATTGCAGTATGCGTGGATGAAATAGGTAATCTTTATGTGTCTGTGTTCTCCTCACCCTGACAAACTCCGATCTACATTAGCTACATAAATCATATAGAATTTTGACCCTTACAGTAATGAGTGAAAGATCATTTCACAAAAGCACAACCAATTCTTCAAGAGACGTATCGCGGTGCAGCGCTAAATTATATTTGATTTAAAAAATATTTAACATGTATAAGCATATAGGAGTATGAATTATATCATGCTAATTAGCTTGTTGAGCATAGAACTTTTTAAAACTGTATTAAAATCCAAAAGCAATAGCATCACACATTATCACGAGATATTGATAACTATTTTTTAAATAATTTAAAAGGTCTAAATTTTTCAGTTGCATTTTAAATCGGTAGCGACGACGGTGGTATTGCACCGGTGGTATCGCGCACGTTGATAGTTCAATCGAGTAAGGCCTGTATCGCTACCGCGAGCGAAGAAGCGCTGCAAAATTTTCAGTCGGGTTTATTCCGCACTGCGATACGACTCTTTTTTTTTTGTCTCCCTCTTCCGAGAGGCAAGCCCGAAGCCTGGTTCTTCTGGTCTGGCGCTCGGAAGCGCGCATAGTCCGGCCCTGATGGAAATCGACAAGAGGATTCAGCAGCATCAGCAGCAGTCAGTCCACCAGACGAGTTGTCGATAGCGCAGTACCTGCTATATCACTGAGTAGAATTGTCTTTCCCAGTGTCGCCTGAAAATCCCATCAGCGGCATACCATCGTCAAACCCGTTTTCCCCATCGTTCGCCCGTTCATTTCTTCTTTGAAGTAGAGCGCAGCTTCCAATGCACGTCGGCAACCCACATACCGAACCACCATGTCCATTGCACTGTCCTCAGCGACGTTACTATGGAAACGGGATGGGCATCACAATCGCGCGCGGGTGACTTTATTCGAACAGTGCGGCCTGAAGTTCGGGGGAGGCGCGTCTCTGCCGGAGCTCTGCGGAATCGGTTTCATAAAAGGGACTCGCGCGTCATTATTCCTCTCGTCCGAATCGAAGCGAGGAATTTGCAATCAGATAGGACAGAAATTTCCGTGTTGCAAGCATATGGATCTTATCGAAGTCGGCGTAAACGGGGCGCAGTATCGATTTGTCAAAAATATGTGTTTGGCTCGTGACGCCAGTAAATTCTAATTTGTTCAGATAATTAACTTCGCCATCCAATTTGCATCCGCATTATTTCACGTCCCCGAATGTTAATTTACTGACGAAGGACGCATCGTCATATACAATTTAACTAACGTTGTTCACCGATGGTTAAAACCATTAGTGGGATAAACTCTATCTCCGGCATTCCATTATAAATTTCATATCGAATCCACGAAATAAAGATAAGGCTGAAATATTGATCAGCCGGCAAATTATATTATGAAGCCAATTCGCAGAATTTCTTTATTATATTTGTGTGTTATATTATTGTTATTTTTTTACATTCTTTGTAAATTCACTTTTTATTCACTTTAGAATGATATTATCCATTATTTCACATCCACTTATATTATAAATCATTATCCCACTCGATACAGAAGCGATTATTAAAAATTGCAATGTGACAATTAAGTAATTGCGAATACGACAGACCTTCGAGATTCTGTGAAACGTGTCTCTTGTTAATATGAGAATTCCGGTCAGAAACAAGCTCTGTCTAGTCGTACGGTGCGAGATTTAAAAGACGGAACTGGAGCTTATCGTGCACATTTTTTGCTTAACGCAAACGGTGATTTAATCGCAAATTTTGCGCACAATCGGAGATAAACTACGAGAACTTCTACCGGCTTTGCTCCCGCTTTTGCAGAGAGTGTTTTATTTCCAACGCGTGTGAGGGAACTTCTCTATATCACGTAAAACGCGAGAGGCGTACTATCGAGCATTAGAATGTTGCCTAATTGTATACCAGTCCGCTTTGATTCCTCCCGACTCCCGACAGGAAGCATCGAGAGTTCACGCTCGAAACTCGCATTTCCGCGCCACGCTCATCACACGTGCCGCAGAACTGCGAGCTCGAAATTACTTCGTACATTCGACTCGGCAGCAGGTGTTGGGCACACACCCCGGTGAATGACGATATGCGTGTAATATCACTTTTCGTACAAAATCTAAATAAACGGGCAATAATTAACGGCCGTTACTATTATCTGTTTAATTAGATTGCGTATCAATAGCGGTATTCTTCGTACTGTATCAGCGATATTTGCGCAACGCGAAACACAATGAAACGCAGAATGTACATAAGAGTCACTATTTTAAATGTTTTTCTATTTTTCAGTGATGAAATATAGAAGTAACTTTTTTCTATCGCTAGCTATCAATGTTACTTGTATTTCAGAATAATTGAAAGTGACGACTTATTTAATTATATCGCTGATTCAGTACAGAACTTGGGTTGCAGGTGATAACTTTGGTTAAAAAGTAGGTATATTCGTCGAACCCCGACATTTCGATGCTATACAGACACGCGCAAATGATTTCCATGTTTATTACGAAAATATGATAATTCGCGTAAGTTTGAGATTTTTCTTCCGGGGAATCGAAAAACTTGTCAAACAACAGCGCGGTTTCACACCACCAATTTGGATATCGCAATGCGCGTAGATTGGGAGCCCAACGCTTGTAGAACGTCGAGAGTACGAAAGGCATCTGTTCGATTAATACGAGGGGATCTAGTAAAGCCTGCATGTGCCACACAGCAATGCGCACCGTGCATCTCGGAAGCGTTGACGCGTGCGACTCAACCGTAGGTGCTGTTTTATCATTGATTGTGTCATTCTTATTCACTTTTTCTTCTTCCCCCGCGCGCGACATACGCGCGGGGGGGAGGGTCTCGATTAATCCGTATTACGCTTTGGTGCGACTTTGAAACATGATTAATTAATTGATCTTCCTTTTTTTCTGTTTCCTCAACACTCTAGTTGTTCAGGATTAAGCCTCTGCCAGTGTTAGTAAGTACCGCCACTTGATCTGGTGTGATTGGACTGCTGTAGTTAGAAGGCTATGCGTACACATACTTATATACTATAATCATATATATATATATACACACACACACATTATTATATACATGCCTCGTACTGTCTCTGTTCCTATATATTATCTATACACGCCATCGCTGAAAAGTAGGACTTTACTTCGGATTTTCGTGTTTATCAACTTTCCTTTTTAATCCCGCGGCGTTTTTTCCCCCTTTTTTCGCAATGCTTCTCCACCTTCCACCTCGCGACAGGAGTTCTCAAGTGCGAGTAATACGTATATCGATATGTTCGCTTAAACATGCTTTCATATAAAAAAGAATTCCCGTTCGCATGGACGCTCAGCGGAATGCTTTAGAGATAAAAAAAGCTTGTGAAGCGCAGTCACTGTATCATATAAAAATTATCATTGTTCTACCCATTGTACATATAGAAGCAAAGCTGGAAAAAAAAAGATTTTAATTTTATTCAAGCTATTTTTATTTTGAGTCATTAATAGTCTATGAGAAGTTGGAATATAAAATAAAGTTTGCTGAATTAAATTTTGCGAAATAAATTGTAACAAATATTTATAATATTGAGCAAGAAAATATTTTGCATTGACAATAGATAAACTTAATAGTCTTTCCTCTCGTCTGAGCGCCCATGTATTTCTTGCCAAAAGAAGTTCTTTCGCTTTTCAAAGCACTTAACGTAATTCATGGAAACGTGGTGGTCCTGTTTGAAAACGTATGGCCCTTTCTCGTGCTCGAACGGGTTTCGATATTTTCAAAGGGAACACTTGCTGACATGATGCCAACAAAGACACGCTAATTCTGGCAACGTACGGTACGAAAATGTATTGATAACGGGCCACACGTTGGCAGGATGTTACGATTAACCACGAGTATATATCGCGAGAGAGTATCGGTTTTTATACATTTGATTCTTCACATCCGGGATTTCCGAAATTGCGGAACCGAAAATTTTACAATCACCATTATGGTCCGAGAATTAGGAATAAACGTAAGTTGCTGACTTTTGTTTTGTCCTATGATTTGATTGACTTACAAAACACTTAATTTTTACCAATATGCATGAAATTCTTAATTCTTTTTGTATATAGCATATCTTCATATATTTACTTTTTTTTTGTATTATCGGTTATGGATCAGCGATAAGATTTTAACCGTGTATTTGTCGGAATCCACCGTTAACCAGAAATGACGGCAACCCTAAGTGACCACAAAGTTTTATCGATATAAAAAATTATCATTCAGACGTGAAACACCTGTACGAATATTAAATCGATCAACCTATTAATATTATAAGTGAAGGCACGTCGTGTGCATGTATTAATTGTCGAGCTATTAAACGCAAAGGGATGATAATCAAATAATATTACAAATTGGTCACCGGACAAAGCCGCAGTATATATTCAGCTGGTGCTCTGTAGTCGTGAATACTCGTCTGTGTGACGTATACCGGTTCTAATTAGTGCGCACCCGTTAATTAGTTCAGAATTGTCGATATTCTGACTTGGATATATCCAGAAAATTCCTAATTGTAATTAAAACCGATACAATTACGAATATCTACCCTGCCAGAGATGATTAGTCGAATCGACGTCAATTCGACGTCGGTGCGTTGATAAATAGTCGATGTCGAATACTAGTTGAAAAATATTTTTGTCTGATTTTTGATCTTATAATTTTTTTTTACATAATATACGTAATGTCAATTGAGTAAGTGCGAATATTTTTATTGTCTTTCGGCTAACTCTATCATTGAATCAATGCAAAGTCGGAAAGCGTAATATATACATATATATTATGTATTCGATATAGAATTGGCCAAAAGACCCAGAAATCTTACAGAAATATTCCCAATTACTCAATTAACATAAAAGCAATTATGACGAGGTCAAAAATGACAAAAATATCAATCAGCACTCGACATCGATCATTCATCGACGCAACAGCGTCGAATTGACTAATTATTTCTGGCCGGGTGTACACCGGACAAATAATATTCGTACAGAATCGAAATGGACAGTCATCCTTTACTCTCCCCCAACGACCCTCCTCTTCGTCTCCCACGTCTATACATTATCGAGAATCCCTGCAGCTCTGTCTCGCGAATGATACGTGCGCTAACCGGAAGCCACTCTCCGTCACTGTGTGTGCAACCATATCGTTCATTATACTTACTATATACATTATACCTTCTCATGCGCCGTTCTTTACTCACACATTTATGTAGTGGCCGCGCGCATATCTGCATCGTGCATATCTATCTTCGGTATGCGTGCGTGCGTGCGTATACGTGTGCGTCTGTCCTTGCGCGATGTGCAGCAACTAGTGCTTGAGCTTCTTGTGAAATGGAATCACTCATACGTACATATATATATGTGTATGTGTGTGTATATATATATATATATATATATATATATATATATATATATATGTATGCCTTTACACGTACTACGTATTGCGCATCGCTAGATGACCGAATCGTGTCGCTGGTGGCATTACAACAAAAAGCTCGCACAATTCCCGTGTCCCTCCAGTTGACGAATCCCGCCCCGTTGCCGATGAGTGTACCGATTAACTGTAAAAGCCGTACAGGTCCTAAACTAAAGTCGATGACCCAACTGCGTACCGACTGTAAAACGTCATACAGCGACGTTTCAGAGACCAGCGAGTCTATATTTCGTCTGGAAATTCGCGTTTCTCACGTGTCCCTTTCTCCTCTTAACTTTTAAGCGATGTGGCGAAATCGAGCTACGAGTCGATCGCTGGTTATTTCGAGATAAACGTATTATGAATTTGTATACTTTATTATGCGTCGTGTAACATTAAATTCGGACGAACTTGCGAGCGCTCTATTTGCCATTGATACTTTTTGTACATTCTCTACATTGTACTGTTACTCTTTACAAGAGCTACTTTGCCAGTGCTTACTACGTCGCATCTTTCGCTTTCCTCGCAATATCTAGATTATTCGTTCGCTATGTCTAGCGCAGCGCTATGTAGGTCCATCAGCGATCGATTATAGCCGTAGAACGATATCTTAGTCACGTCTCATGATCGAGGACCTATTGTTGTTGATTAAAGCTCTTCTTATACTAATCCAATAGATGTTAATGATTTCACTGCAAGATGCACATTTATATCTTATCGATTATCTCACATGCTATATCTTTCACTGTGTAGTAGTTCCTCGTATATATATAATTTCTCTCGTTAAATGTATCGACGCGAAGTGAAATCCTTGACGTCGAAATCTAACAGTGATCGATAGCAATAACGACGTTTAAACGTCCTTAAGGAATTCTAATATAATCTTTGCTGTATTAACAGATTTTCGTTCGTGCGCAATTCGACTACGATCCGCTGGAGGACGAACTGATACCCTGCGCGCAGGCTGGAATCTCTTTTAAAACCGGTGACATTCTGCAGATCATCAGCAAGGATGATCATCATTGGTGGCAAGCGCGGAAGGATAACGCGGCTGGTTCCGCGGGTCTTATCCCTTCGCCCGAACTTCAGGAATGGCGCATCGCTTGCATGTCTATGGAGAAGAACAAGCAAGAACAAGGTAACCATAACTTCGCCATCCGTGTTAGTCGTTTTTGTGTAAAATTGTTCGACCGTAGAACACGCATACTGTTCCCGATATTAGATGTGTAAAAACGAAGGACGATATTTCGCGGTTGCCTTTACGGCGTTCCTTTTCAACGCTTAATGAGAATATCGATCATTTTTCACCATGTTTTTACCTGCCAACGGCTAAATTATTATTCCGCAAAATGGATGATAATTCTTTAAAGAGAAGGGAAATGTATTCAATATAACAGCTATGAAAAGTATATCGTTCTAAAGTGTGTATCCTTTTTATTTCACGGAACAATTAAGCGTAAAAGCATAAAATTTCCTGACAATTTCGTAGTAAAAGTATTTTCAATGGTGAGAAAAATTTTCTTTCTCTGGCGTTGAATATGACGTTAAGCGGTTAGGTTAAGGATAATTTTAGTTAAAAATTCGAGTAGAATGAGTGCGGTAATCACTGGTTCCAGCAGATCGCAGAATCTCTTTTGAGTACAGAACGGAGAATCACAGAATTTCACCGATTGAGAAAGATCGTTATTACGCGACATTCTTTCACCGCCGCTCAAATCGATCCACTATCATCCAATCACATCTGATGATTCCACTCAATTCCCACTGATTTTCACCAAGTCATTGCTGTCAAAAAAACGAATGTGCTGATGAAACACGATGTCGTCTGTGTGTTGTTCGATGTGTACAGGTTTTCGATGGAGCATGTGATATCGTTTGTTATCAATCAATTATACTGTTAAATGAGATGCGTATTGATAGTGTACCATTCATTCAAGTCGACGGATTCAGTTAGGTAATTACCGTTTTACGACATTGGTCCCCAAGGCAATTCAAACAGAAACAGAACGATGTTTAACATCTGTGACATTACTTCATACTTGATATGTTCATTTACTTCTGATATAGAAAGTGTTCTACAGAAATTTGGAACTCCTTTTAAAAGAATATAAAACTCGCACATTGATTATTCTCTCTAAATCGTAATAATTATCTTTTTGAACTGTAATAATATCTATCTAAACACAATTAACAATTAATTATATTTGATATATATTGTATAATCATTACCTTTCCCATGATATATGTGTAATAACAATATATATAATAATAGAGACTAACTTTAATATATATATAATTTTTTTTAAATCCGCATTCCATTTATTTAATACTGCATATGACTATGGCTATAAATACAGTTTTTATGTTTAAATAAATTATGATTAGGTAAAATGTATTTAGATAGATATTGGAGGTTTATATATTTTACCAAAGTGTGTAATTAATTACTTACATTCAGAGGTCGAGTTTTATCTCTTAAACGTTATAGCTTGAACCGATTTTATAATTCAAACCCCACGTGGCGTATAAAACCCGTATCGATTTCGAATCTCGAAGCTGTGTACGAACGTTCCTGAAGCCATTCCATTTGGCTACAAGCATCTATCATCTCCAGACGCTAGAAATAAAGCAGAAACGTAATCGTTACTTTGGATAGTTACTGATCCATGAAATTTTAAGATGCCATTGCCTTTGTGTTAACCATAAATCTCTTACTTTGGAAAAAGAGATGCTGCTATGGTAAGCTGGGAAAAGCAAACGAAATGTTAGGAGAACCGTGTCGAGCTATACGCAAGATAGTTTATCACTCACAAGAATTTCTTTATTCCATATTTTTATAATGTACGATCAACAACTAGAGATCGGTTAATTTTAAAAAGAACGCTGGTAACGATAAAATAGCGAACGAGATAGAAACAGTACGATAGATAGAAAGAACAATAAAGGTCAGATTAGGAGTCCTAATTGCGGATTGCGGCTGCTGAAGTCGTATGCAAATCAAGAGCTGAATGCTTTAAGAACATGTAGCAAGAAAGTTTCGGTCGTCGTATATCTCTACGTATATGCGCCTGCTGTGCGGCGTAAGTGCGGTGACATGAGGGGACGGATTAGGAATAGGCAAATGGAGAAGCTAGCGCATACAAGAATAATTAGCTGCAGTGATATATCTGTTGTTTATATGTGTTATGCGGGGCTAGATGCTGAAGGAGAAGGTGGATGTTCTTCTCACACCGAAGGCTGCGACGGCTCGACAGGTACGTCTCTGCCTTCAGGTAGATACGTGTAGAGTCACGTAGGACGTACTTTTTTAGACCGCATGAAGTACAGACTGGACCCATGCTTCTGACACACGCATCAGTACAGAGAGGCGATCGAAAGGGACCGAATATTCTTTCGGCGATTTACGGAAAAGGACACACCGGGGTTTTCGCTTTCAAGTTCATTTCATACGTGAAATTTATCATTTCTCGCAATTTTATAAGACAAATGTGCGGACGATACTTGCAATTAGTATCGTTATATTATGCGCGAAATATCTGTCTTGATAAAACACCTGCGTATCAATTAAACATTTGCAAGAAATTGTATAACATATTTAAGCTTTCAATTTGCAATTAGCAATAAATGGTTCGACATTATTAAAAAGTTATCTGGATAAGAAGTTTCGAAAGCTATCTGTTTTGCGTTATTATTGGTCCACATAAAAAATGTATTACGCTCATTAGAGAGTGAATGTTTGTACAATACATGCACTAGGCGATTTATTTTCTACAAGTTGTAATCGCGCAGTCACAATGAAATTTAATACAGATTTGCGCAACAATTTTGTCTTTTATAATTAAGTAATTGTTTTCTTAAATAAGTTTTACGCATTAATTTAAAAAAATATAACTGATTTTTACAAACCTAACGCGTATCGTAAAGCTATATTATTAAATTACATAATTGTGAAAGTATCTCACGCAATGCATGAAAATGAATGTCATGAAAATTCTTCACAATGGCTAATACATGAATGATATGAAATTAAAAGCATCAGTAATAAAAAAGCTTTTAAAAGTTTTCATTTTTCCAGGCTTGTGTAAATGAGAAATTTTGTAATGTTACGAAACACATCATGAGAGAGCATCATACTAATTATAATTTATTAATATGGGTACTATGGTACATATTCTGCATTATAAATTAATAGATGCTTTTACACAGCGTGCTTAAAATGCATGCGTTCGCTGCAAAACATTCCATGCACTTATGCTTACTTATTTCGCACGATTTCACTTGCATACGCGGCAGCACGATCATCAATTAGAGCTTATAATTGATAATTAATTGATTGTTCTAAATGTTAGCGAGCAATTTTGGAAATATCTTGCCAAAAATGTGAAAAACGACATTTTCCTCCTATGATATCGTTCTAGATTCTGAAGTAAAGATTTTTTTTTGCATACATCTACATATTTTCATCCATCTATCTACAAGTGTCCAGATATTTTGGCAAGATATCGCGGTTTGCACAATCACGCGAGTTATTAACCGCAGCTTTGATATACATTGTAGTCATACGTGAGAGAGAATCTCTCCAGCATACATATTTATAGTACAGTAGTTCTGTGGTCGTAAAAAAACACTCGCAAGGCAATTCACCATGACTCCCTGATTATGACACCTACTTAAGATCTCACGCATCAGTTAATCATGGTTGTCATCTTGTGACCTGCTGGAACACCCCTCTCAATAGGACTTCCCAAGTGCCTTTGGGCATGGCTTCCTACAAACTGGCTGACTGAATGAATTCTTTTTATAATCAATAGGCAAGATTTTGCTTGAATCCAGAAGCCGATATTCGCAGAGTAGCTCGTCACCTCGTGTTAGCATTAATTTTCGAGAGGGTGGCTAATATTAAGTGCACACGTCGATGCGTACTATGTTTCCAATAGGATAACGCACCGTGTTAGGCGATACGTGTTTAGGAGAGCTAATGACAGGAAATATTTTAGCGACATGAACGACCCTTTGCGCAACTACGGAAAATATCTGTCGTACCTTCGTTATTCGATTTCTGGCGACACAAATCAGGGAACTTTATTGATAAATATAATATCTACAACCTGCATCGTGAAAAGTAATCATCGTTTTACTGGCTGACATTTCTGATACACGTATACACATTCGTACATGCAATTGAATTTTGTGAGTCAGTTCCGTTATGCGGCGGCCACGTATTGTGATCGTCCTTTAAGTTCGGTTTAGCGGTCGTTCATCGACACTATAAAGGCTCGGAACTCGTTAGTTAGCACGGATAATGGATTCCGTAATATGACACTTGTACGGTAACTTGCAAGTTTACACCGGGCAGACGTTATCGATTTCATCTCCGATTTCGCCGGCGTTTATGTATATTAACGATTTTTTCTGCTTGCAGTAAATTGCTCAATATTCGGCCGGAAAAAGAAGCAATACAAGGATAAATATCTCGCAAAGCACAACGCTGTTTTCGACCAGCTGGACCTGGTGACCTACGAAGAGGTCGTGAAGCTTCCTTGTAAGTTTCTGCAGTCCTAAATAATCCACAAATTAATATAAAATTAATTTGATGTAACATAAATGTATACTGCTTATTTTTTTTTAAATTATCGGGGACTCTTTTATTAGAATGTCTCAAAGTAGATTTAATACAATCAGAGTTACATTAATTTAATTGTATATATATTACAACATTTATAGGACATAAATAATTGTTAATTTTAAAGATTATATTACTTTTCTTTATTTATTACACAGATCCTGCCTTCCAACGGAAAACTTTAGTATTATTGGGAGCACATGGCGTCGGTCGACGACATATAAAAAATACGATTATTTCCAAGCATCCCGATAAATACGCCTATCCTATTCCGCGTAAGTATCTCAAGTATTTTTTTATAACATTCTAATCAAATATTATTTTTTACAATTAGAAAAGTGTGAAGAATTAAAGATCGGTTTATAATAATCGTATAAAATATATATATTTATCGAAAATCTTATCAAATACATTCTTTTTATAGATACAACGAGGCCTCCACGAAGTGACGAAGAAAATGGTCGTAACTACTATTTCGTATCACACGATGAAATGATGGCAGATATAGCTGCTAATGAATATCTCGAATATGGTAAATTATGCCCACGCAAATTTTCTCTTGAATTGATAACTGAAATTTATTTAAATTAACCTAGATAATTAACTTACTAATAATTTATTAATTGTAAAAATTAATAATAAAACATTGTTAATTGTTAGCATTTAGAAATAGATAACAATAAATCTCACAATGTTGGAAGCTGAGAAAAAGCGCATGTTGTATTAAATATTAAAATTATTAAATCTGAAATATTTATTTTATAAACAGGTACGCACGAAGATGCTATGTACGGAACTAAGCTCGAAACTATTCGCAAAATTCACGAAGAAGGTAGAATGGCCATATTGGATGTTGAACCGCAGGCACTGAAAGTTTTACGGACTGCTGAATTTGCACCTTACGTAGTCTTCATCGCTGCACCAGCATTTGCAAACGTTACGGACGTAAGTATGAAAATAATTCCACAAGATTGAAGGCTAAACTTATACATTGCATATTTTGGATATTTTTCCCAGAAATTGCATAATGATTTACCGACTCCATTGTATTATAATATGAAATTTTTTGACATGTCCAAGCATTATAATAAAAGATATAACATTCATAAATTTATACTAAAAATTGAATAAAGTTTCTCCCGTTTTAAACGGTAACTCTATAATACTTCCTACAATAATTACAAAAATGAAGTATGTTAGTCATATACGTAATTGATAATGTTCTAATTATATTATCATTATTATTATTTTTAACTTAATTCATATATTTGTAAAATTTTTTAAATAATTAATTATTTACATTTACAATCAAATTCGTATTTAAAAACAAAACAGTTGTATATTTTTCAAATTGCGAACGTTATTTTGCTCATTAAGCTACAATGTACAATTAATTAAAAACAGTGTACCTAGAAAGGATATGCTAATTTATCTTCCCGCAGTACACGTCTTCTAACTAAAACATAAACGTACTAGCCTTAAAACGTTTTCTGTGTAAAATGAGATTAATGTTCAACAGGATTTTGTAGTAGCATACATAACACAATGGCAAGTTACGAGCCAAAGAGCTTATCGAAAAATACGCACAATAAACTCCGATGTCTGTAAATATTTTTTAATCTATCATGTCAACTGAGCGTATCTCGATTCTAGATATGTGATGCGAGTTAGGAATGCTTGTACGCCAATTAAGCAATTAGGCAAACAGTTCAGTGATCTTCAAATGAATCACGGATTTGGCGGATTAATCAGGCAAACAATTACTGCTTCACTTGTTCTGAATGACTAATCGACCGATTGCAGTCCGTTAATACATTTTGAGAGGAAATCGTTAGACACTGGATCCTAATGATGATGTATAAATATGATATATAAGCTTATAAACACATATACACATACACGTAAATATCGCGTAATCGGATTATACCCATTATTTTAATTTAAAAAAAGACATGGAATTATTTAAGCGTACAAATTATCCGGTGCGAAAATATGCGGGACCCTCAGCCAAAAAGAAACGTGAAAACGCAACTGCGATTTTTGTAACAATGTCGTTTGTGCTTTTAGTTCGACGGTAGTTTGGAGCGTCTGGCGAAGGAGTCGGACATGCTGAAGCAGGCGTACGGGCATTTCTTCGACCTGACCATCGTGAACAACGACCTCGACGAGACGATCGCCCAGCTGGAGGCCGCGATCGAGCGCGTCCACACGACACCCCAATGGGTGCCCGTCTCTTGGGTCTACTGACAGCGGTCTTCGCCGATTCGTCATATCGTCACCACGGACTGCAATGGTTCATCGAGGATGAAGCAGTGATCGTTGGCGCCATGACGATCATCGTACCATGGTCGACCTTCTCGTCGCGAATTGACGCCGACAGCCAGCGGCGTCCAACAGAAATACGCTGTAGGCAATTATGCCGTGCACGCAGAACGTACCCAGCGTACCAGCAAACATACCCGCCGACGATCGGCTCGACGATGAAAACGATCGAAGTGCGTGACTATACGATGGCCGTGTGTTCATGAAATTTCTTTCCATCGCAGTGTAATTGTTATGCCAGTCGCGCGGGACACAAGGAGAGACCAGCAACATGTCGTAGTCATCCTGACGATGAGTATATTGCCACCGCGTCTGCCAACGAGGCGTCAGATCATCAGGAAACGGAACGCATCATCATTGAGCACGACGAAGATCAGTGACGGTAATGACGTCGTCACGCGCGTCTAGAAACGGACGCTTTTTTCGCGGACCACCAACTCTCTCCTGCATCTATTTCTCTCTCTGCTCCCGTCTTCCTCCTTCGAATTTCAATGATTAAAGACGAGAAGCAACACCGATCAGCTGGGACCTCTCTTGAACGAGACTGTTGAACGAATTTCGTGTCTTTCCCTCCTACTCCGCGCAATCTATCGCTTCTCTCGACACATTCCTGGCACGATTTCGGCGAATTCACACATGAATTTCTCACGGTTCCACGCGTAAAGGCAATCGCGTTTACGAACGCGAACCATGTGCAGTGATACAGCAACGCGATAACAAGCATCAAAGAACCGTCGTGGAGAATCAAATGAGAAACAATAGCCGTTCATACTTCGCACGGACATCAACCGAGCGGCTGCATCTTCGTACCCTTTACCTGCGGAATCTATCGACTTTCCGTAAACTGTAATTGCCTCCTATCGTACTTTATCGTAATTACTTAATGAAAAGAAGCTAGAGATCGTGCGGCACGGCAGTGCCCATGAGTATACATATATGTATACATATATATGTATATACTTATACATATGTACGTATATAGTATGTGTATATGTATAGCGAAAGGCGAAAAGGTCCTGTCGCAATAATCGAAACCCACGTTTCTCTGATCGTTCAGCCAAAAGAGAAAAAGGAGAAGAAATAGGAACTGGTGTGCTGCCGGCCGTCCGTCATTTAACTGTAACTTTAAGCAGTAGAGAACTTCGCCGGTTTCGTCTAGTACTTCTGCTAATATCTAACGAGTGTTCATCTCTTCGTCGCGGCTACCCCTACCGCGACGAATCTATGCGTATGCGCGAGCGCTTCTTTCGCCTTTTGTATCTTTCCCCGGTCGATTCTCGTTTCTTTTTTCCTCTTTTCATCTCTTTTTCTCTCTCTGTCTTTCACTCTAATCTCCCACCGAGCTTCTCTCACCTTTCTACTTTTGACAATCGAGACCGCCGTCGGGACGAGACGGTTCGCTCGCTCGCTCGCTTGGCCGTGCACTCGCCCAATCCCATTCATCGCAGATCGTTGTTCACGAGACATCCCCCGGAATCGTAGAATCAAACATTCGCCGATGCACCGCGTCGGCCGACGATCTTGTATTTCTTGTACACAAACGCATGAAGCCGTACCTCACCTCTCCCGGACGAATGCACGGACGGCGGATACCGATCCAGCAGTGAGAATTATACAAGTGCTTATTCGGAAGTGCTTGTATGCGATTATTAAGTTCGTACAAGCATACACACACATTCACACACTTACACATAGGCACACATGCACGCACGCACGCACACGTGTACAGACATACACATATGGGCACACGTCAAAACTACAATGTCACTCGGTTCGTATTACTTACACCCTCGTACAAAAGCGCATAATCGAATGACGAAGTAACAAAAACGCGGATTTACTATAGGATATTTATAAAACGTAAATCTCAGATAAATAGATAGTTTACCAGCTATATGAAATAATAATGAGGACAACACGTCTCTCCAGTAGAGATACACACACGTGCACCAAGACACATCCCACACATACATCTACTCACACAACCCGCCCACTTACACACACACACGCACACAACACGCACACACACATACGCATATACATAAGCACGCAATCACACATGCGTGCGAGTGCAGGTTTACAATACAGATTTAACAATTAGGTAATTAATTTGCAAATGATTAAAAAAGAATTAAATGTATGACTAATTAATATTAAAGAATTATTAGGAAACTAATAGGTGATATGCATATGCCCGTAGGACGAAGAAATGAATGCGTGTATACATGCGGGCGTGATATGATAGTTTAACGTTGATAACGTTGCGTTTATCGCGAATCTCTATTTGAGCTTTGGCTTCATCGGTCTGTCTTTCGTTCTCTCTCTCTCGGTCGCCGCAACGATCTCGAAACATATAGGCGAATTTATAGGCTCGTGTATCGCTCCCCTCGATGCGTTCTTCCTATTTCGCGCAACCCCACGACAGGACGACACGAACCGGTCGTGGCAGAATGCGCCCGATTATTATATATTTCAGAAACGCATATAAACGAAGGGGAGGGTCACGACGCCGTCACGCAGTGTCACATTTTGCGGGGACCAGTGACTCTAACATCGGACAGAACCGAATTTTCATGAAGCCAGATGTGAATTTGTCGAGTAATGAGAATGCTCGCGCGAGGAAAAAAAAAAGGATTGCCCGTTGGTGTGATAGCGTTCGTATGCGTAAAACATTGCGAAAAGCGCGAGGAGCGTGAGTCACAAGTGATTTTGTAATATTTCTTATAAGTTGTAGCTGCCATATCCAGTAATTAAGTACTAGGTGCGTTGAGTGATAATCTGCCGACGACTGTTATGCTAATGATAATGATGACAATGATGATAATGATAACGGTGATCGTGATGACCGTACACGTGCTGCCGCACGTGTGTCTCAGTTAATTTGGATGAATTGTGCTAAGATATTGAGAGAGACGACGGGTCTAAAGAAAACAATAACAAGTTCATTACAATTATGTAATTATAAATAAGAGGAAGAGAGACGAAGAGTATTATAACACGTTGTTAATTGAATTAATAAAATTAGCCCAAAGTAAAGGAGAGATGTTTGATTTGTTGCGAAATTTATTGGCGTCTATGTTTTCGTTTCAACGGATGCCTTCTGATGATGTGGCTTCTTTTAACTGATGTCAGTGCCGGTATAAGGATATCTTCCGGGTTGTCCGTCTTATTGCACTGCTTTTGGTCCATAGGGAACACGTACTCCAAGTCAATGTCATACCTATGTATCGAAAATTTCATTTTTAATGATTTCATAAAATAATACGACAAAATAATATCTGCTTTAATTTAAGTTTTTAAGTATTTATTTACTTATTATAAAACAAGTGTCTTTAGCATGTACAGAAATTTAATCAAGTCTTAAAGAAATTATTAAATTTGATTGTTTAATGAACTTTTCCTTGAGGTGCCATTTAAAATAAAGAATTTTTGGAATTAACGATATCTAAATTGTATTCGCATCTTGTATTGAAATTACATTTTAAAAATTATTTCTCAAAGATTATTCTTCGAAAGATGTATATGTGTGCGATTTTAATAAGTTTTGAAGATTTTGTTCAGAATTTTTTAAATTAAAATAATTTAAATCAAAATAATATCAAGACAAATGAAACTACCTAGGCAATTTCTCTCGAAGATAAGAAATGACGTTTGCCCCAAGGCTCGTTTCACGGCTCATGATGAAGCTAGATAAATATCGTGGGCTTTCGCTCTTTTCAGCACAATGCATTAGTAACGCCCAGGATTTATAATCCGAATCTAATACATACGTATTGTACACTCCTTCGTCTGGAAAATATCGAAAAACCATAAAATTATTCTGCAAAAAATCATTATTTCCACTAAATTAAATTATTATGACGATGATTCATTGAGAAAATGTATTTTCCGGAGAGTAAATCTTGAAAAAAGTTTACATCTAAAGCTGGCTCCAGATCAAACGGAGCCAAACCCGAGCGCGAACAAGTACAAATGAACAACTTGTTTCAATAAATACGAGAGACATCGCGAATCTAAGTTATTTATTCTCGTCTGCTTGGATCTGGTCCAATATTAATAAAGCAATTTAAAAATTGAATAAATTGAGAGTAATTAACTAATTAAAATTTGAAAATAAAATAGAATAGATGAAAGAGAGCAGAACATGAAATATGAAACTTTTTTGATTATTTAATATTTTAATGTATAAAAAAATCGAAATAAAATTTAGATGGTTACGAAGGATGTGTAATGTGTTTACATGATAACTCAGCGTGCATCCAATGAGCAGGTAAGTCCGGCGAGGGGATTTTCCACGTGATGTTACCAACGAGCAGTTCGTTAATTGGATCGTCAGTAAAGCTGTAAGTGAAATTCATGGTAACTTCGGCGTTCTCGGGCGAGACCGAGAGCTCGGCTCTCATGCATCTGTACACGAGAGCTTCCTCTGAGCTTGCATAGTACTGTACTATGTACCACGATCCGAGAAACTGCAAGAAGCGCAAGGTGTCCGTTACGTGCGAGTGCATGTAGGCGTGAAGTCACGCGTGAAATAGGCGTACAACAGTTTACCACGCCGGGCTGATTTTATTCACGCTAACGTATGCTAATAAATGTGTGCGTTACCCAACGGGTCAAGCGATCGCGCTCAATGGTAAACGGCGTTAGAAATATATACGTTGAAGAAATTTCCCAGATGATTATCATTTCGTTTCCATTCGAAAGCGTGATACATTGTTATTCTCGAACTTGTATTTCTTATAAACTTGTTTAACATTTTTTTCTTATTTTCCACAATGCATTGCATGTTTAATTGTATATCGTTTAAAGATACTTGTATAAATTAGACTCTTATTTTATATCTAATTAAATTTTTATGCATTTATTTTAATTTATTTCAAGGTTTCATAAGAAATGTATTTTTATAATTATCTGTAGCTAATATGAAAAGGAATTATATTAGTTTTAAATTTAATATTTGCGTTAAACTTCTTTTTGATATACTAGATTCACGTCATTAAATTGAACTTAGAAAAACATTTCAAATATCACACAATGCATAAATTTGCCTTCATTTCTTATTAAACGTTAAACATAATATTTTGTTATTAATGCTCTCGTATTTAGATTCTACATCAATTATTATATCAATAGAATAAGTATCCTCACTTATTATCTACTATTAAAAAATTAAAAATAAATTAAGAAATATAAAAAGATACGTTTTATCTTATCCGCGAAAACATGAAAACACGCAACAAATTGGTCGGACTTATAACGGAAGCGTGAGACACTTCGAAGTTTTTTCGGGTTATCACAAGATATATGTTTGTGTATTCTGGTTCAAAGCCTATCTCCATCGAAGTCACACGCGATTCGGTCTAAAACGCAATGTAATATATTCAAATACGTACGAAACTTTATTTTTTCAAACTCGTATTAAACATCAAAAATTTGATTTGAATTTATGCCAATAAAAATAAAATAATATAGGAATAGATTGAAATTAAGCTATTTATCTCTTTTGTGCTCATAAAGAAAGCCAAAATATCTATATTTAAACGTAGATACATTTTTATTTCGCTTTGTAATTTTCCAAAACTGATATACGAATTAAAACACATCTGCGACACAATCCACTTCACTCAAAACATATATCACCGTATATGACAAAAGAAAACCAATGGAAATAGTCGAATATGTATGTCTAAAATAGTCCCCCCTATAAATACGTATCAAATCTAAAAATAAATCCGCTGAATGTAGCTCTGGAAAGAAAGACTCCGCAAGTACCGCTAAATTCTAATATTCCATATTCGCAAATGATATACGTTTAAAAATTCAAATAATTATCTTTGTATAAAATCACTTTTCATTTTCCTTTCCCTTTCTATCTTATTAAAATTTATTAGATAATTGATTATATATATTGTTAAACATCAGATATTACACTTTTTTCGTACTTATGGTAGAGAATTGGATTCCCCCCCCCCTTAGTCGATTTTTATTAATCTTCAAAACACAAAACTATATAATTGTTTAATCCGAAAACGAAGAGTGCAAATTTAATCGGCATACGATGTGACTAATTTTCGAGAATGGGTTTCCAACGGAAATTAAACGCAAATTCCGCAAAAGTATTTCACATTCTAAAAAGTTATTTGTCATTTCCTATCCGCTTGTTTAAAAACTGATCGTAAATCAAACGGTATATTTCGCTTTTCGTCGTTAAAATCTTTGCCCATCTCTCTCCGTACAATTATTAATTTTGTAATATATCTGATTCAAAATCTGTGTCCAAAAATTAATAGTGCGTAATATAGTACGCGTTGAATTTATTTGCGGTTTACCAGTGAAATGCAAACGTTTGACAGCGTTTAGTATTTTCATGTCAAATCATGTATTATCGTTAATTGCACGGTAAACGATCATTTCTCTTGCTATCGCACATTGACCCTAATAAATAATCTTGAATTGCGTTCCATGTAATTAATATTCGATCGACATATTTGGCTGCAGTATATGATCATTATCCATTTCTGAATCACATCAGCGACGGATATAATATATCAGTATACGTCATATTATTTCGCACTAATATCGCGTGTTGAATGAAATCCGTCAAATATGCATCCGCTCTACATAAATGATATCAAATGAGATAGCAAACGATTAAATCGGTGGTCACCGGTGAAAGTGTTGAACTTTATAACAATACTACAGTTAACATAGGAGTTAACTTCGAACTGTGGAAGCTGTAAATAGCTATAATTATAAAGAATATTTTATTAATGAAAATTAATTGTAATAACTCATTTCTTTCAATGAATCTAAAATTGATTTTTTAAAGATTTTCTCGAGAAGCTATTCTGTATCAGGCGACGAAAATGAAATATTTGAGAACTTGAGAATATAAAAATTTGTTCTATTTTAAATATATATATATATATTCTTGAAAAAAAAAAGTATAGAAATTAAGCAGATCAAATTATGATATTGATGCGTGAAAGTAAACTGCATAATTTTATATCGAAATTCACGATTCCTAAGAAACACGAATCGTTGATCTATAGCTTTATATATGTACATAAGACAATGTCTTTGCGCTTATTATATGTGAAACGCAAGAATAAACAATCGTCATTTAAAATATTAAAATGGGGAATAAATCGGGAAACTGTGCGATCGTTATAGATCGCAGAGGACCTCGTACCTCGGATATGTCGAAATTGCGTATACCCTTCACTTTCGGACACTTGGTCTTATCCTCCCGTCTCTTATTCCAAACGCTGCCGGCGTCACCGACGAGAAGTCCGACGACGAGCAGCGTTATCGTCAACCAGCAGAATCCCGAACGTCGTCTCGTTCCGGGATGCATCTTCACCGTGCATTCAGATTCAGATTCCGCTCGCGGTATAAACGGTATGAGGCTGCGACCGGCTGGAATCGCGCGCGACGCGACGTCTCTTCTCGGCTCCTCGGGGCTTGCTCGGCGACTAGAGGCCTGCACGTATGTACATATAGCCGAGCGCACGAAGAACGGACGCGCGACTCATGACTATTACACGCGGACGAAGAGGGGGTGGCCACTATCACGTTCCTCCCTTTGCATTCTTGCTGTTCCTTCGTTTTCAATCGGCAACTTGTTCCGCGCGCGTACAATCCTCATAACTGGCGCCGGCTGGAGCCTGGAGCGGCTGGAGCTCGAGGTCTCGTAAGCCTCTCGTAGGCGTGATCGCCGTTTATAGCTTAAAAAAAAAAAACACGCTCTCTGTATCCTCGAGTTGCTTGTTCTCTCCGGATTGTCCCGTTCTCCGGGCGTTCGTTGTTTAGCTCGGAACTCGAGACTCGGGACCGCGATCTCCGAGACTTTTGCGATCTTTTCGCGATTGCGAAGTTTACGATCGTGTCATCTCTCGTAAGCGAGTGGAATTGCACTTATACCGATATGACCGGCGTGGTGGTCTCACTGATACATAAGATAATATAATACATGCATAATAGAGATTATCTTGCACGGAGTTGATTTTTCGTTCGCCGACATGGTTTGCAAATTGAATAAATAAATGTATAAAAGTTGTAACCCACACACTGTAAATATAATACACTCCGGTATATAACGATACGAAGAAATATTTCTATAACTTAAAAGTGAATTGTATAAGATGTGTAATGTGTGAGAAAATAATACACACGTATTTTTATATCATTTCACTGAGAATTATGTAAATAGGTGATATACTGTATGGAAGTCCGTCCGAAGCCGCGAGGCAAAGATCAAATAAATATATTATTATGTAATATATCATTTTACATTTATTTTGCTTTATGTAAGGTAATAATGTAAAAGAGATATATACATCTTCATATACATATAGGTATATACATATCTTTATTAGTTCTCAAACAATGGCACGTTTGGCACTGACTAATTTAAATACATTGGACGTGCCAACGCAATTCAATGTATTCATTGAGTATATGAATAATATAATAATGGCATATACAAATATATATGCGTATACATATGTCATTATAATGGAATTAGTCAAGGCTGTTGAAAGGAAGAAATAGCGTAATTAATGCGTGAGGTGTTGTTTTATATAAAAAAATCTAATTACGACAAATAGATATCACCTCTTCCTTCTAGTAAGAATTAAATCATGACTAATTATTTCACCGAAAATCTTAAAAATTTAAAGAATCTTAAATATTTTAATCTGTACAGTAACATGATTCCATAAATTAAACTATTCAGTAACTCTAAACTCTCCGAAGGCAAAACCGACACTTGTGTCGACTTGTGTCGCTTGCTGGAAACCTCCCATTATATGTAGCGACTGTATATCGCGCGGAACGGAAGCCAGAAATTAACAAGGCATGAAAATTGTTAAATATCGCTTACACAGTAAAAAATTTAATGTCCCAGAAAGTCCACTCTAAATTTTGTGTCAAAATAACTCATGCATTGTGTTATTTTTTACATTTAGAAATGTTATTTTAGTCGATATAACATTTCTAAATGTAAAAAATAACACAATGCATGAGTTATTTTAACACAAAATTTAGAGTGGACTTTCTGGGACATTAAATTTTTTACAGAGTGTATACTACGCGTTTGCAGGCGGCGATCACTTCTTCAAAGATACGCTTTTTCCGCTAATATCAATGTACTTTGACGACTGCGCTTTTGCGGAATAATATATGTCATGAGATGAAATGAATTGAATAAGCCAGAAAATTGAGGATATGTCGACAGTTGAGTCGCGCATTTTTGGACGATTCGTCGCACCTTGCTCGGTTATTAAACCGACTCACGTCATATCGTGCTATAGGTATCATGATGCTGTTACAATTGAACTTTTCAGTTATTAACGGATCGACTACGAGCTGTTTAACACTTTGAGAGTGCCATGTCATCCATAATATATATCTAATTTCCGCAAAGACCATCGTTACCATCGCATCTGTGAGTGACGGTCTCATTTATCCGATTCAGAAAAATTGTACTAAAATATTCAAGAAATAATTTATGCCCGCGGAATCCACCGTCGCGATTCGCGAACGCAGACTGACGATCGTATTCTCGATCTCGAGTTACGCATTCCGCGAGTTTTATCTTCGATTTCAGCCGGAATATTCGTTCGAGTTATAATACGCGACAGTGATTCTCCTGAAAGTATAGATTATAGAACATAATTATTTCAAGCGCGTAAAGTACGCGAAGGTGTATACATATAGCGCAGCGAGGGCGTAGCGTCACCGCCGTCGCCGCGTCGCCGTGAAGTTGGCCGCGCAATTTACGAATTGCCTTTCCGCCATTTTAGGTTCTGTTGCGCTAATTGACGAGACACGTCGCGGATCCTGCCTCCTGCCGCGTTCGTCATTTGATGATTAGCGCGCGATCGCGCGAAGTATTCGAGTGATGTGGGGTGATAATGAGTGTATAATACCTTAATGGAGCAACGACGCATGGAGGTCTGAGAGAAGGAGCGGAGGCCCGGGGGTAGCATCAGGCGCCGGCGGGGCAACCACGGGTGAGTAATTCATTATTTATTTATCAGCTGTGGAATTTGTTTATCCCCACGACAATCTCATTCTATGCAGTATTTTGCATTATTCCGTAATACAAAATTCATATGAAGCATTCCACGCTATAATTTTTACTTTACAATTTTAATTAAATTTTAATTGTTTAGATTTAATTTGGATATATTTGTATTTTACAGATCAGCATCGTATTCTACAACTCCGCTGCTACGCATCGTACCTGTGAGTTTTAATTATAATTTATGAGAATTTTATATGTGAGATGACAGAACCTTTTCTCAAAGATCAGTAGTAAATACGAATTTGAATTTGTAATGAAACATGAATGAAAAATAGTATCATGCAGCAATTTATAATATTAAACATTAACAGCAAACGTGTTTAACGTATGATATTAATACAAAAAATGTTATTCGTGCATATATGACGAATTTTCGATTATATCTCGCTATAGTTAATTATATTTTAACTATAACTTTATGGACATTTATAGAAATTTAATACGAGAACTTATATAGATTATAATATAGATTATATTATCTTTTTCTTTTTTAATGCATAATAATTAGATATTTATTTTTCTATACATTTTACATTTAATTGCATTGCTTCAATTTACTGAAGAAAGAATACACTATATTTATTAATTGCTTGAGATTCCAAAAAAAAGAGGGAAAAATTGAAAATTTTCTTATTATACTAAAGCTTACATATTGTTGCAACTGAAAATTGAGTTGTCCCCTAATTTTAGGCAGCTTAAAACTTTTCGTTCTTGTCGCTCCGACAAAAAAGAAATGATGTAAGATTTATGACTTCATCTGGTTATTCAGGTCATCTAAGTTAGAGTTTAGTTGCTTCCCTGTGAATGATACTACGAAGTTTATCGTTAGGATGAGTTGTTCAAACAAAATAACTTTATCGGCACTTTGACCGCAAATTGTTGGACTGCGTAATCTGTTTATTAAATGATCATGTATAACTTCCACGATATCTATTAAAAGACGCGGTAATCTCTCGCGCCAAATATATTTTTCGTAAAGTAAAACTTTTCATGAAAGAGACGCTACAACATTCTTTACAGGAAGTATATTATTGGAATCCTTTACAGGAAGGAGAGTGCTTTTTTCCAGAAATAAATCATCGTTCTTTTTAAATAAATTGAGTTATCGAAAGATGCAAATATTGGTGGAAACTATTGATTTTTTCGATTACACTAATATAACAATGATATACTTGATGTGTAGATATAAATATATGCATGCATTTTTCTGCGCGATTCATTTAAATATACATATAAAGAGATATTTTTAATTATGCTCGGGCGTATGAAACAGTTTGTCATTTTAGAACCGCAATAAACGCACACTGAATTCTCTCTACGTGATAAACTTATCAATTCCTCAGTTTATTATTTTATCACACATCCTTTTCCTCTACATACTTAGCAATCATGACTTACGGAAATATTTCTGTCTGATGTGTCATGGTGGAAATTGAGGATTATCTTAGGATAGCAAAATATATAAATTAATATAAATTATAGTATTCACATAGCAGCAATGTTATGTTTTTGTCAAGTTTATGTTATTACGATCTCGATATATAATATGTTTCAAATAATTTTGTAAAACCTTTTAAGCTAAAAGGCATGAAAATGAATAAATATATCTATATCTACCCACCTAAAAACAAATAAAGTAAATTTTCATTGGTCATTTCATTTTCAACTCACAAAATGATATTGAATGCTATCCTTCCGTGATAGAAAAATAGGAAAGAATAGAGAAGTGTAGAACTGCAAATTAATGCAATATATAAAAGATCTTATTTATTAAATTTTCTTTTTGCTGAAAAATAGATATTGGTATTTGTTCCATATAAAACTTATTTTACTGCTAATTAAGTACACTGTATCAAGTTAAACTAGCATAATCAAGCTCGTCCACGCCTTCAGTATCGTCATCATTATATGTTATATATCATTTCCAAGGGGGCTTGTTTTTCTGCTGATCTATTTTTGAAAGCATTTTTTGCGGAAGAGACATATGTCCACTAACATCGTATATATTCTAGTAAGAAAAGTGACGTTATTCGTATATATATACGTATGTACGTTGATTCATCATTAATTATTATGATAAACAAACCTCGGGACTTGGTTGCCACGTGACGCTATCCTCACTCATCATACTCAATTCCTTTTTTAAGTAATGTTTCCGCGGTACCTCTCTGCATTCCAATGGTGGACTCGAAATGCTGCTCCTTGGTTTTGGATCTCTGTCTTCCTTTGCTAGCTGCATTTCTGTAATCTGTAAAAAATTTATTGATATTTGTGTTGTGAATACCTTAAATTATCGCCTGTATCTTAATTTTACTTACCATTTTCACATATTTTCGAAGGTCATCCTTCGATTCATTTCCACTGACTAACGGAGTATTTTCGATGGAATTCATAGTTATCACGCTTTCATTTTGATCTTCAAGAGGTGGTGCACTGATCAAATTATGTGTTTCTAACGGCATAGTACGTTTTATTGGTTCTTGAGAAAGTTTAGTATAACAATTTGGCATTGATTCAGATTTTTTAGGATATTTAGAATCAAAATATTTGTCTGTGTGAATTTTTTGAATCAAGGAAGTATTATCCATATTACTGCCTGTAATAACATTTTTTTTTTAAATTTACGCATAAAATTAATACTGTAATCATAATAATTTTGTATGTAAATTCGAGCACATTCTGCGACTAACCTGATATAATATGCAGAGCCTGTTGCCATTGCTTTTGCATAACGGAATGTAATTGCTCCGCAAGTTGAGATTTCGCTGCGCGTTGAGAATTCAAGTGTGTTTCGAGCATAGACGATCTCTGTAAAGCTTGAGCTAATTGTAATTCGCATAATCGTTTTTCCTCTTTATGTTTTTCCTCCAGCAAGTTTATTTCCAAACGGTGTCTAAAAAAAAATCGAACACGTATATAACTTAGAAGATTTGTATATATTTTACCGCGTTGCTATAAAAATGTGTATAGTGAACGAACTTATCGATAACATCCTTTATCTTCCTAGCAGCACATTCAGCTATAACTTGTTGCCTTGTTTTCAATTCCTCTAAAAATTCTGACTCGGCATTATCAAGTTGCGTTTGAAATTCTTGTAATTTTGCTTTCACCACCTCGTCAACTTGCTTCTGGTAAACCTCTTGTAATTCTGCTCTGATCTTTTCCTTCTGTTCTGCAACAGACTTGGTTTCATCCTTGGCTAATTTCTGAAACAATAAAGACAAAAATAAAATATATGGCTAATAAAGTGAACTTTAATACATTATAAGAAATAGATCAACATATGTAATATATTACTTCTGATCTCTTAGCGTCGTCAATAGATACGAGCAACGATGAATTCTTCTGTTCTAAAATAGAATTTCTATTTATCTCTTCTTTGAGTTTAAGTTGTAAATTTTCTTTTTCTTGCCTGAGCACTATCAACTCGGCTTCACAAGCATCTAGTGCTTTATGAATGACACCCATCTCACTTCGCACTTCGCCTCCCCTCAAGCGTTCTTTATTCAATTCCGATTGAATAGTTTTTAATGCCGCTTCATTTTGTTGATTCTTCGCCAACAACGTGTTGAATTCCGTCTTCATTTGTTCACATCTATCTTCTGCTTCTTGAACTAGTGATTTGTAATTTTCTAATTCATCTGCATGAATTTTTAGTAGATCAATCTTCTCTTTGATCATAGTGTCACTCTTCTCTTTATATCCAGCCGCCAAGTCTAAAGCTTTCGATAATTCTCCTTCCAGCCGTTTGACTTGAGTTTGAAATTCCGATATCTCAGACTGATGTTTTTCCGTGATGCTTTGCAAATTAGTTTGAGAATTTTTATGCTCAACCTTTAATATTTCGACTTGTTGCTTTAATTTAGACCAAGATGTATGGAATTGAGATATCAAGACATTTTTTTCATTGTCGACTCTAACTGCTACCGCGACTTTTTCCTGTTGTTCCAGCAAACGTTTCTGAAGTTCTTGAATCAGATGCTCGCAATGCTGAAATAAAAATATAAAATAATTCTTATGCCATATACTTGCAATATTGCATATTTATAACATACCTCTCTACGGAATTTCTCCTCTTCTATTTTGATTCTAAGAGTTTCTTCTTGCGATCTAGCTGGATTAGATTCCCAGAAATCCGAAAGTGATAAAAATCGTTGACACTTCCTGAAAAATAAATTTTGTAACAACACAATAATATTTTCTATATGTTAAAAAAAGTTAATGTGCGATAAAAATATCGTAAGCATATAAATTACCTTAAATTAAGATCTGTATTTGTTCCAACGTGCACGGTACTTTTACCAAAATCAGATCTTTCTTTATCATATAAAGTTTCATTATGCTGTGATATTTTACAAAGATTTAAAGGTTCCGTGTTACTACATTGTACGGTCTTCGACGGCATCATACCAGAAAACTTGGCTGATTCATTGATATGTGATATAGGACCTGTATTTGCAATGGAAGATTTTGGTTGAATATATACACCGCTTGCATCTGCCTCATCTGTCATTAGAACGTTTGATTCTGCCACTGATTCTTTTGGTTTAGCGCCGTCAATTGTGGCTGATACATTAAACAAATGATCTATATTTTTTACATTTCCCATCGTATATCCATTTGATTTTATAACAGGCTGCTGAAGGTTCCGTTCCCATGTCTTAAATCCAGAAATTATTTTGTCAGTCTCACTTGGTTGGAATGAATCATCATATGGCAATGATATATCGGGGAATGCGTCGTTTGCTTTCTTTTGAGAAAAGGCTGACAAAGCATCGGTAAGTTGGGCGTCTTTGTTCTCCCATTGGAAATCTGATTTTCGACGCGCACCAAGCTTATATTGCGCTTCTCTTTCTTGACCGCTTGCGTTATCAGTTTGCGTCGATGACATTGGATGAAGTGGCTCATTGCGATACTGATATCCGCCAGTGTTATTTATTCTTTTCGATAATTCTAATTCGGTAGCTTCCATCTCTTGGAGCAACTCGTCAACCTCCGACAGTTCCATCTCCTGCACTATTCTAGAACGGGTATGCAGCAGCTGACCTATCGATGCATTAGATGAATTTGACACGGGTATTGCTGATGGCGGGGAATCGTGGGGTTTGCAAGACAAGTAACTCATACGATCATTCGCTCGAAGAGACAAGCAGGAGTCCTTCGTAGACATGACAGTGGCATGCGAGAGCCCAGTACCACAGGAAGCAGGAGGCACCGCAAAGGAATCGGAGTACGAAGTTAGAGCGTCATGCTTGGTCCGAGTGAGATTATTAGTATTAGTCGAATGAGAGGTATCAACTGTCGTTAGGTGGCACCCAGACCTCACGTCTCTCTTCGGGAAGTTAGTACAGCTCTGCGACGAGTAGCCATTGGGGGTGGAAGGAACGGACAGAGATTTACGCGGCTTCACGGGGGTATTTTGCAAGCTAGCGCCTTGACTTACGGAGAATCTAGTTCTAGGTAGGGTCTGCCGTTGATAAGCAGGGTAGGACGCGCTGCCGTAGACCGGTTGAGAGTCGTTAAGCAAACTGCTGGGCGCGGAAATGTCCAGGCTATTGTCCCTGGACTCGATCGCGGTGATTCGGGACTCCAACGATTGCATATGTCCCACCAGCTCCGAAATAACACCACCGCCGCCGCAATCCGTTCGGGATGCGCGATCGCTCGAGGTGTCGGAATCGGAAGACGGCACGTGGAATATATCGGGCGGGATCAGGAGCAGGACATCCGTGTCATCGGACTCGCTCATTATCCATCTAAACAAGTCGTCCTGCGAGCGGTGGCGAATTGTTAAGCGACTACCACGGGCCAGTCGATATTTGCAGAACGCTCGCAAAGCGTTCTGTCATTGATGTTTGTATACACTATACAGCGGAGAAGTAGCCCGCGGGACGTGCCGCAAACCAGTTAGGTTAGGTCCAATTTCCCCGCACCGCGTGTGTCTACGTATAAAGGTAGGGTAGGCAATACGAAGCGTATATTATGTGTCCGAGTAGCGTTTATAAATGGCGATTAATCATTTCCAGTCAGCCGCCAACGAGCTGCGTCGATCGCCAAGATATACACAGCTCCGAAATTTTGTAAACAAGCTTGAATGACACTCACGCCAACTCACGCGCCACACAGGACAACAATAACGCCCTCATCGGTTCAGTGAACTTGATATTCGTTAGCGGCAGTTAGTGGTAATAGCGCGGCATATCCCTTCTAACGTTTTAACTGAAAAATCAGACTGTGCTGGTCGACTGAATATGAAGCTGATTCTTCTATTGGATTATAAGTAAGAATATTTCTTCTGTTATGCAGAAGAATCATGTTATTTCGATCAGCTTCATCTTTTTATTAATTATAATTTTTTAATCCTTTGCGGTTCTATATCGACAGTTCTCTTATGTCGACTCGACATTGCGTTTCGTTCTATTATTAAAATTAGTATATTCTTTGTGGAGCCTTCTATGCGTGTTTTATAATTTGAAAAGAATTAAAACGTTAAAATATTGAAACGAACGGAAGTTATATGATACTGTCTGTAAGTTGCCAAATTGATACGGTCTGACTGCGAAATAAAACAAAAATATGACTCAAACCACAAAGAATTAATTATTATTATGTCAATTTTGAGTATAATTTCGTCGATGTTAGTGAGCTTTGATATCGATAATTACTAATAGCGTTGCACACTGATAATTTACCAACTGTCGATATTTTTGGGAAACGCGTATTTTAATGAAAAATGAGAAAACCATTTGCAGATTATATTTATTATTTTTTGCTTTATTATATTTACTTAAATATATTTTGTTCGTATTAAAAAATTTTTTTTATTTTGGTTTGTCTTTATGCTATTATTAATTTTTTTGCTCTTTGTAAAATTTTCTTTCATGTATACCTATAACATTAACATGCCCTTTTTTAGATAGGAATCACAGAAAATCGATAAAGTTGATGAATGAGTAATAATTAAACTATGTATTTAATAAAAAAGCAGTTATGGATTTAAATCATATTAATTTAATATTTATATTTATTTAATTGCATAAATTATAAAGTTTAGAAATCAATAGTTATAAATAACCTTTATTATGGATTAAAAAATATTGTAATTCACAATGAGAATCCCAGAAAGTATGCAGTAGAATCGATATGCCAAAATAATAAAAATAGTGAAACGTAATAAAATATGTCATAGAATACCTACATATGTATAAGTTTCAGCAATCCAATTTTTTGTCAGAATTGAGATCGTTAGTAACACGAGAAACTTTGCGATTAGTTGATATTTCCAACGCAATTTTTAATAAAATATTTATGCCAATCTTTTATAAACATAATTTATTTTTAAAATAAAAAATTTCAATTTGTTGATTTTTTTATAAGCTGTATCTATTATTATTTTTAATTGTTCGTATCGTATATAGCGTGCATACCCATATCCTGTGGATCTAGGCGTCATCTTGATTCGTCAAAGTTACTTTAACATTAGAGCTCTTGAATGTGCAGTCGTATATCGATGCGTCGCAGTGAGACGCATAAAATATGTCATGTCAATATATCGGCACATGGCATTCGCGACGTTAAATTGAAGAGACGGGTGAAAATTCCTACAGAATATCCATGCTATAAAAATATAAATAACTGTATTTAGATAAGAATGCAATATTTTTTATAAAGTAAAAGGAAACATTCGACACATTTTCAAATCTAAATTAAAAGTTTCTTTTAATAAATTTTACTTTGTATAGTATAAATATTATTATCAATTTTTACTAATTTAAATAAAGCCCAGCATATTATATGGAGGATTGTTTTAAGGAAAAGAGAATTGAGCGTTCGTATAATTTTTATATACGATTCGTGCAATTTTTAATATCTTTATTTTATTCTTCATCTGTTGTTTATTATAGGTGGATAAAGAAAGATTGCTTATAGCCTTTCATTAATAGAATTTGATATAAAGAACTTTGATTACGACACGTAATCAAGTTATGAGTTTCTTTCTCTTTTTTGTGCGTTAGGCTTACTACTCATCATGATTTACTCATTATAGCATTTCGGGAATAAGCATCGATTATAAAAGAACAAAGACAAAAGGCATTCTTCAACATATCGCTTTATTAAGTTTTCATAATGCAAATGCGCTTTTTCTCGATCGACTACAATATTTATTTCATTTTTTAAGTAATATTATACACCTGCTTAAGGTACACTGTGAAACGTCTTGTGTCGCGTGCACTCTCGTATCGTGTTGCGAAATATACGCGTGTGCCGAAAGAGAAAGAGAGAGAAAGAGAGACAGACGCAGAAGCTTTTTTTATGGTTATGAATATCACATTAGGCTATACCACGTATCTATAACAGCGTCAATCTTCGACCATGAAATATATATGATGGATGCAGTAAAAAGTATTCGATCGTTTATTTGACGTATTTCAATAATCAATTAAAAAATCGTCCAGCTTACACATTGACATCTTAAATTTATAACAAGCTTTCGAAAATTGATATTTTATTTCGAGCATAAATTGCTGCATTAATTAAAAGTCCAAATAACTCGTTCTAATATTAATTACTGATCAGCCTTGTCCTATGTATGCTCTTGTGCTATATATATTTTTGTGCCAAACACACGTGTGGAAAAATTTAATTGATTTATGTCATAAATTTCTATCGAAAAAATAATGCCTTAATTGTGATAGATTATCCCTAAAATTTTCACTCCTTCGGTTTTATCCAGAAAGCATACAATAAAAATTAATATATGCAAATTGAATAATTAATGGCAGCTTTCACGATATTAATTTAATGTAACGAACGATCGAATAATTTCTAATGCAACTTCTAGTGCGTCATCTAACTACCAGCAGCTGCTATTATATCCTTTTAAAGAGCTCGCGTAAATTAACAAGAAAATGTCACGTATTCTTACCAATAATAATTACAGTTTCTTCAACTTTATTTCGTTAACCCTTAAGTAAGCATCGTTGACCCGTAATGTTGTGTTGAAAAAGGTGCAACTTATTCTGTCATTAATTGATTATTGTAATTCATATGACACAGTATATAAAAGACGGGCTTACATTTTGCAAATAAAGAATCTTTCTTTATGACAACATTTGATTTAATAAATAAATTAAAACTGAGAAATATTAAACTTTATCGATGAAAAATTTAATTTTCTGCATTTACTGAGCTAAGGAGTACATCCCCCAGAGCTTAAAGAACAATTCCAGAGTACTCATGTATTAGAAAGGGTGAAATTTTACTTTCTCGTCACAGAGTTTCAATTCATGATCATAACTTTTTCTGAACCGTGTTGTATAATCGGTCCTTATTTATTTTCCTCTTGTTTGGTTTCCCCAAAAAGTTTTATAATTATAAACAAAATAATAAAAGCTGTTTAAATATTTGATATTGCAAAGCCTCCTAATTAGCGCACTAATTAGTGCCACGCTTGAAAATCTGTGTTCATTCTATGAAAATTTCCTTAAAATATCAGGTTTTAAAATAGCAGATTTTAAAGTTGGACATATCAACTTGCACACTTAAAAAAATTCGCTATACTTCTTATAAATTTATAAAATATATCACAAAAAGGGTTTGATATCAAAAAGGGATTATTATATTGATACAATAGATAGAATACAATAAAAGATAAGATATTTATAGAATATGTTACAACTGTTAGGGGAATACTCTAGTCTAGTAAAAAAGAAGCTGAAGATGCTACATAATGCTGCAATTTGATAAAGCTATTCGCAAGACAAGTGGTCTGTGCCTCCGTGTCATATAAGTCTCTACTTAGGGGTTAACGGCAATAATCACACTCCAAGCATGTGCACGGAGAGAGAGAGAGCTCTCGCGATTCACTCGAAAAATGCAACCGACGCAAGTTTGAACAACGCAAGGGATATATAGGCATATGCGTGTGTATACATGTGTACGTGCGTGCGTGCGGCGCCCGAACGCGTGTTAGCATTTCGCATGAAGTTTGCATTCGAGGCACCGTTGTGTATCCGAAGCTTATGCGGAAGTTCTGCATATAAACCGCGCGTCGGCAGGGGTAAATATTCAGGCTTGGCATCACGATACGATTTACAACAATCAACACGACACGCTCCCGCGCGCGAACACTGATTAACTTTATTACTTAATGATAAGGTTAAATGGTAACGAAATACGTAGCCCGTCGCACGCGCGTCATTAGGGAACAATATGGAAAAATAAATTGATGATTATCGGCGCGATACTTTACGTAAACCATTTACGTTAATTATTACGTTTCGCCGATGAATCTGGTGATGGCAGATTCTTTAACTGAAATTGAAGTCACTTTTCTCTTAGCGAAAACTTGTAGTGATTTAATATTATATATTTATTATCAGACAAAAAATAAAATTAAGATAAAAAATTAAAAGATTCAGGCACGGTTAGATTCATTTTATAACGACTATAGTTTAACTTTAATAGATCTCAAAGAGATTTTGATTATTAGGACTTTATTTGAAACTTATCCGTAAAAATCCAAGATAAATGATCACTGAATTGAAGTAGATAAATGTGTGATTGGTTCTGAGAAAAAAATCTAAGTTTTCGTTAACAAAAAAAATGAACTCCAAGTTCATCGAATCAACAATTGTTGTCAAGATTTGCGGTAACAGTAGGACATTCTGCGCATCAATGACTGCCACCAAATTTATGCGTTGTTGGATCGTATACCGTTAAAAATCGTTGCAAGTTTCACGAAACCGCGATTTATTTACGGCGGCGTATAGTATAGCGACGGATCCTTTTGTCTTCTGTATGCTATACAATCATAAGACTACCGAGATACGGACACTCGATGACTACTTAGGACATACGATTTTATAATCTTACTCGTATTAAAACCGATAAATATATTTATATATGTATATCTATACAGTACAAATCACATACTCTGCATTCCCCACACCGCTTCCCTGACGGCCGTAATAACATATTAACGTACAACACTTTACGTAATTACTGTATACGATAACGAGATGTGCGGCAATCGACTATCGGCTTTATTGCCGCGTTGGAGTTTGCGAAACTTTCTGGTGTTACGAGTGCCACGTGTATC